ATCCGGACTCGTCGGGACTTCAGCGATTCCGGATTATCGATTTTTCCGGATTATAGATCATCAGTTTAAATCTGGTAAGATGGCATGCAGAAATTATAAAATTAAAAATATGAAAACCGTAATTTATAAAAATAATGAGCAATTATGATCTAAAGGGTATCAAAATTTACCAAAAAAAGAAGCCTAATATTTATTTGTTTACTTTATTAAACATTTCTTTCAACGCGCGGATGCGTAAAGCATACCTTACGCATAGCCGAAATTAGAAAAATTGCAACCAGAAAACTATTTGATTTGTATTCGTGATATTTATATAATGACGAGGAATTTGATTTAAATCATATCAAAGACGGAGTACATCGAAATTAAATACTACATTTAGTAAGGAATTATAAGCCGACTAAAATAAAAACATCTGCCCTGAAGATAACGATAGTGTTGACAGATCAACTTCCAGTTCATTGCGCGCCGCGACGTGCCCCCCGCGCAGAGCAGCGTGAAATTGATAAACAGATTTCGGAACGGTTAGATAAACAAAGGATATGCTTTTATCCATTTTTTTGTAGCAATTCGTTTTTTGTTTGATGGACATCGAAACATACTTTCGTTTTCTAGATCCTTTGGGAGCTCCAGCATCGGAAAAATTCTATTTGACATAATCGAAAAGTTCAAGCTTACTTTTTATAAAATTGCTCTAACAGTCTGCAAAAAATAATAAGCCGGATTCAATTCGAAGATTAAGGAAACAACGCAATTATGCAACATTAACTGAAATAGATAATTAGATAATTTTAGTTTATACCGTCCGTTATACATTAAACGCGCACGCGAAAACGTATTCTGCACTTGCGCACACGCATGTGCGCAGTAGTCAAGGTCTTACGCGCACGCGTAAAACGCCTGTGCGCATGTGCCAACGCGGCGCATGCGCAGAAAGTTTTTAGCTTTGAGGTCCGGATTATAGATCATTCCGGATTACGGGTGTCCGAATTAACGACTTTTGACTGTATAATCATTAAATTCATTTGATAATTATAATTTAATTTGCAGTTAAAAAGGAGATGTATGTTATTTATAATCCCCAAAGGTGCATACTAATATTATTAAACTGTTTAATAAATATATAAGAGAGCGCTTCAGAACTTTTCGCATCCTATATAATTTATCTCCATTCTAGTACCATGTACATCCTTGTACACATTACGGACTTACAGTGAAGAATAGAGGAAAACTCTGTAGCTCCATTCAGGTTTTTATTCCTCATATACTGATACTGAAGGAGAACTAAAAACACTTTTCTTTTACAATATATTATACAATATAGCTCTCCTTATGATCCCTAATGCATCTGTTTATTTTCCCCTTCGCAATTAACGTCAAAGTCCCCTTCCTGACCGCATTTGGAATGCCACCACTCAAATACTACACACGTTGGAATTTCTATCAAGATTTTAATAATTTGTATTCTCATTCCACGTGATTAGTTCATATTCATGTTTAGTATTATTATCGTTATGCTTATATTATGAGCGTATGTATGAATGTTTATAATAATATAGTTGCAGTAACTGCTGATAAACTTCCAAAAATGGGTGTGTTTTAACACAGATTAGCTTTCTAAGGAAGAATATTCAGAATGGCTTTAAAAAAGGGAAAGTAATCAAATAGTCCTTTTTTTTTTTTTTTTTTTTTTTTTTTTTTTTTTTTTTATCTCAATACTTTATAAATTACGGATGTTGGGAGCTTCCCCCCTTTCTCTGCAAAATCTCGAATATTGCAACTGTTACAGTTCGCTGCAAAACAAGCAACGGACTTTTTTTGTCACTTTCCAATCTGGATTAAATAGGTCTAAAAGTTCTGCACTCTACCAAAACAAGCGAAGAATGATTCTATTCCGGAAATTTAACTCAGTCTGTTCAAAATTAGAACGATAAACACCCCAGATTGGTAAGTCTCTTTCTTTTCCTTATAGTTCTTTATTCTCCGAATATCGGCAGCTGTTGATTCTGATTATGTAATATCACATAGGGAAGAATTACAGTGCACGTATTGTGCAATAATGTTAGCGATATTTTGCAGAGATAATTAATTTTGATGTCCAGTCTCAGATTTGTTTATGAACACTTAAGAGTTTTACTGTGCTTGCTAAGCAGAATTTTTTTCAGTTCCATTGGTCTATTTTTATATTATGCACATATCGAAATGTCAAAAGCATTTATGTAGCTGAAAAATCTAAAGAATGGCTACATTCTACCCCCCCCCCCCCTTGGCTCCTCTTTTTTCCAGTTACGCTCGACTATCTGGAATATTCAGCAATTTCCGAGTATGCGGGCTAGTTAAGCTTTTACTGTTAAAGGATGACTGCATGAAGCAATTTTCCGTCTTCTGATTTCAGAAACGTTCCTCTTTTTTACTTAAATTACTTTGCTTGCAATATCTGTTAAGGAAAAACTGTTATACAGTCAAAAGTCGTTAATCCGGACTCGTCGGGACTTCAGCGATTCTGGATTATAGATCATCAGTTTAAATCTCGTAAAATGGCATGCAGAAATTCTAAAATTAAAAATATGAAACCGTAATTTATGAAATAAAGAATAATTATGATCTAAAGGGTATCAAAATTTACAAAAAAAAAGCTTAATATTTATTTGTTTACTGTATTAAACATTTCTTTCAATGTAAGTTGTTTAAGTTGCTTCGTTTTATGTGATAATACGCTTTCTTTAATTCTATAAACTGACATAATTTCTTGTTCAGTTACAAAGTTCCGCTGTTCAAGTCCCGTAATTGCTGTGCCAAGAATACCGACTAACTTGTCAATCGAAATTTTCTCGTTTTCACTAACCTCTCTGTCACCTTCTTCATATCTTTATTCATTTTTTGCAGCAATTCAACTTTTTGTTTGATGGACATCGAAACATACTTTCGTTTTGTAGATCCTTTGGGAGCTTCAGCATCGGAAATTCTATTTGACATAATTGAATGTTCAAGTTTACTTTTATAAAATTGCTCTTACAGTCTGAAAAAAGTAATAAGCCGGATCCAGTTTGAAGATTAAGGAACAACGCAATCATCAACATTAAATGAAATAGATAATTAGATAATTTTAGCTTATACCGTCCGTTATACATTAAACGCACATGCGAAAACGTATTCTGCACTTGCGCACACGCATATGCGCAGTTGTAAAGGTCTTACATGCACGCGTAAACGCCTATGCGCGCGTGTCAACGCGGCGCATGCGCAGAAAGTTTTTAGCTTTGAAGTCCGGATTATAGATCATTCTGGATTATGGGTGTCCTAATTAAGGACTTTTGACTGTACAATGAAAATTTAGAAAATGTTCAGAATTTTGACTTAAGTTAAATTATTTAAATATTAATATGAGTCGAAAAATAAATTGTATTTATTATTGGTTGCCAAGCGAATTCAATAAATATAGTTTATTATTATTTATTTTCTCTATTTTGAACTGAAATTTCATCATTAAATCTTGTAATATAGTTTAGTCCTGCATTTTTTTTTTTTTTTTTTCCCGTTATTGTAAACTAGTTCTGTATATTGAACTATTTTTTAAAAAAACAGCAATTGTTTTCCATGGTTGAGGTGATGCTCATTGTCTCTTAATAAATACTGCATTTTTCATATTTTAAATTACAAGTCTAATTTCTCTTTTAAGGTTATATAGTTGTGTATAATGTAGTTAGACAGGTGCTTATTTTTTTTCTTAAAATGTGCTTCAAAAGTGCTTATGCTTTTTAAACTAAAATGTGGCTATGAACCCTGAAATAGTATTGTGTCATTAAACCCTTACATGTGCAATCATCTTTAACATATAAGGAACCAATGGGAAAAGAAGTAAAAGTGAGATTAACATATAAGTGAGAGATCCTCATAATTTCGTAATTATTGCATTCGTATGCATAGTAATTGTAGCTTTTATTCATTTGATTATTATATCAAGATGTAATGGAAAAAATAATGAACATTTTGCTTGCACTGATTAAATGTACAATGTGCCGGAAAAAAGGGGGGACTTTTCTATATCTCCCATTCTACTGGGCCAATTGACGAGATTCAAATTGTGATTTTCATGTCTCGAAAGCGTGACTTAAGATATACATTAGATTTATATATAGCATTATTCTAATATTCAATCTGCTAGTCCATTCTTCTTTATAAATATTAAAGTCTGTATCAACTTAATTTGTTAAAATTATTTATTCATTATTTGAATGAAAGAAACTTTTTTTTTAATAGTAATACATTGTTGGAATATAACTTTATCTCACTACAAAGCTAGTACATAAGTAATTTCCAATATTGAAACCTAGCATTCTTCTTTTTCTTTTCTTTTTTCCCCCTTCTTTTTAATGGTTGTAATAAGAGCACTTTGCTTTAAATCTTTCCTGTATATACTTTCACTGATTATATAGTCCTTAAAATCTAATGGTTAGAGTCAGTACAGTTTGCTGAGAATAATTTGGCATGTCCCTGCTAATGAGGGAAGATTACACAGATGTGCTCAGCTATGAATCAATAAGCAATAATACTTTTATATTTGTTTTTGCCATCATTTTATCAAATTCATTCGGAATGCTTGTAAAAATTCCATATGCCATTCATACCTTTTTTTGATATTTTCTTATGAGAATTCTAATTTCTTCTCATTTTTGAAGCAGTGTGATTTTGTGAACTTAAAATTTCTAGAGGTGAAAGTTTCTTGTTACTATCCGTGTTCATCATAGAAATACAGTCTGTCTTTCTTTATTGTCTTCACCATTGTGATAAATATCTCCCTTGAAATTCTTTGTTTTACTTGGCAAAGAAATATGTAATTTTAAGTATGAAAAATCAGATCACTTTAGCTGTGTATGAATAAACAGATTATTTAACATTTTTTTAAATCCTTTAGTATTTGCATGAGTATTTTCTTCATACTGTTAATATTTAATATTCCTGTATGGAGTGTAAAATTATCATTTTAACTTTTATTAAGAAAAAAATATTTCCTCACTGAGAAATATATTTAATATGTTTTTATGCATTTTCAGATTCCTATTGTTCCAGTTGTTTTTTCACCATACACTAATTTCTACAATATTAATAAAAAAATATTTGACAGAGGTAAGTTTATTTATTTCTCAAATTACAGATGTTATTTTTTTAAATGCATATGTATTTTATGTGTTTTTCATTTAAGCTAAGCTAATAGTATATTGCACTTAATGAAATTATTTCTCAAATAACAGAAAAATGACAATTATAACTTAAATTATTATTTTCCTTTCCCTTTTCACCCATTTATTACCATTTTATAAATTTTCTTTCTAAAGATCATCTCCCCTCCCCTTTTTAGTAATGTTTTCCGTAAGGATTTAATAGCTTTCAGTGCTTGTGAAACTGTAATGGTAATGTTGCATGAGGTTAAAGGACAGTTGTTGTGACACTACAGAGGAGATCCCATGTTCTTTCTACATGTTATCATTATAAACAGTACCTTATTATAACTTATTTAAATTCAGACACAGAAAAAAATTACTCTAAACCTGTGCAGATAATGAAAAGTATGTCGTATGCCTAAGATAAAGCTTCAGGCATGTATATAACAATAAGATAATCCTTTTGATATGTTATTTTTAAAGCATTAAAAAGGTTTAGTTACACTGTTCACATTATTTGATCACATGTGATGTGCTGAACACTGAAAATAAAAAATTTTGCATTGATGACGAAATGGCACACCCTTTATATAAGGGGATAAGGGGGCAGCTTTTCCTAATGCCTTTTTACCAAGCACATTTCTAACAACTGCTTCAAATTATGTCCAGCTGCAATACTTTTTTGCAGCTACTTTGGAATCTTGGTAAATTTTTAATTTAATTTCAAATTGCAATCGAGGAATGATTGATGGAAGATTGTTTAACTGCATGGTGTATTTGAGTTATTTCTGAAGCAGTTATTCTGTCTTCTTTAGAATTTGCATTTTAAATAAACTTATTAAATATCTAGATGATAATGCACCACTTTTATTTTTATGACAATCTGGTTGTGTATGCTGTCTTACTGCTAAAACACTCATAGTCAGTCTTAAAAGCACTTTAACAAATAACACTCATATATCCAATTACTTACTACTAACCATTCATAATCATTTTTCCAATTTTGTTGTAAAGAGCATAATTGCATGGTCTTTTTATTTGTCAGTTCCATAATTTCTTTATGAGTATAACAGCTGTTAATAACAGGAGATATGATGATAAATAAAAAGATGTGTAACAAAAAAGTACATAAATTAAAAGAGTGAAATATTAGCCAGGCACATTAAGCACTGTAGAACAAATGCAAATGAAGCACATCGTATGTGGAGGAGAGGAGAATGAGAAGGAAACAGTGTTAAGCAGTATTGTCTAATGCAGTGTACATTCGTACAAGGTAGAATCAGTTTCCAATTTAGACAAACAGAGTGTTTTCTGATATTCAATGATCATGATGTCAGGTGGCAGAGAAAATGAAATTAACAAAAAATATGGCATTTCATTTGTTTATTATGCTAGGAAAACTACATCACCAAGTGGAGTATATTGCCAATAAGAGAGCTGGCTCCGAAGAGGGAGCAGAAATTTGTCACCTCCTTGTGCCATCTGTTCAAATTATAGTGCCAAAATTCATCATTCAGTCACAACAGATTTTTAATTTCAAATTAAAGGACATTTGAGACTTTTTATAAACTCAAACAAGTACAGGAAAGCAGTTTACAGAACTGCCCTTGCCAGCAGTTCTTCTTACGACCCATGTAACATAGCAAATATTAGCATGTGGCCTAAAATTTAAAATAATAATAATAATAATAATAATAATAATAATAATAATAAATAATAATTGAATATGGAGGCACTACTCTTGCATGCAAGTTATGCGTATAAAAAAAAAAAAAAAAAAAGGATTCCCTTTGTGATAGCATACACTAAATGTGTGTATATCAAATGTTACTAAAGCAGTGATGTTATCATTTTCAGTGTCTTTCAGGTATCATATCCGATTGGCAGAAAATCTGCTTTCTAATCAACATATTATTATAAATGACAGTTCTTTTTACTAATTTTATATTGTATTAAAAGTTAGTTTAATTTTTATATATAAAAACCAGTAGCTATTGAAAAAGAAAATGAATATTAAAAATGAGACATTTTCTTTGGTCTCAGTGTTGCATTGTATGCTTTCTTTTTAGTCCAAAGGGGCTTTATCCCTGAAGGACTATTGTTTCTGTTTCGTGATTTTGCGTTTGTTCACTATAAATGTCAATTTCACTTTTCAAACTGTTGCTGCCAAATGTTAGAGTCGTGCATTATATTTGAGGAAATTAAATAATGAAAAAATCTGCATAAATGTATGTATATTTCTCGCATCATGATAAAACAACGGTATAGTCATCGAATTTTGAATGATGTAATCCTACTGTGAATATGGGCATATGGAAGCCCAAATTTGGAATTTGTTTTATTATCGATTTCATGTCTTATAAAATTTTAACGAATTTTTGATTAAGAAACTCAAGGATTTCAAAGCGAGCAGTGGCAACATTGTACAGAAAAAATATTTTTATCTCCAGCGCGCAAGACTCTGTATTGGAAATTCTAAAGGTATGCTCAATTTAAAACTATTTTGCAATATTGCTCTTGAACTGAATTTTATCTTTTAAGTGTGAAGAACTTGATATTTAATAAATAAAGGTAACAGACAAAATGTTAAAAAAAGCGCCTTTGGACGTAATTTAAAATCAGAAATCTTTCAGATTTTTATTTTTTATTTGTTTTTTTATTCTTTATTTGAATCTTATTTTAGTTTTATGTTGTTTCAGTATATATTATGATTTTATGCTTTATTTTACTGTTTCTTTATTTTAGCACTTTTTATTTGAAAAAGTAAGCCTTAAAATGGATTAGGGATATCATAGGCATCCATGTTTACATCAGCTCTTAGCAAATTGGAGATTACATCTTGCTGCTGCAAAAGACTAAATAAGTACATTTTATTGTTGTAAGCATCGTTCTGAAATTGTTTAATTACATTTTCTGTACTACTACTTTTCTAATATTTTTTTGATTAATTAATAAAATGAAAAAACATCTTTTGTTAATATTTTATTATTTTATATAAATAAAACATTTCTATATGAATTCACATAAAGAATGATAATTTTTTTTAACCAAAAGTATCAAGTTAATACAAACATCTTCGTATAAAAAACTGTCTGATGTCAAACTGAAGTAAGAATCTCTATTCTTCTGGTAGCAAATTTTAATGATAATTGTTCCCATTAACTTTGAAACAGCTTACACACCTTGTCCATCCTTGCAGACTACTCATCTTTTCATGACAAAGCCAAAAATCACTCCTTTACCCCTAGGAGGTGCTAAGCCCTTTGAGATTGTTCCCGAATGTCTGGTGCCAAGGTTGGTCCATCCTTTGCTACAACTTACCCTTTGGGGAGGGAGACAAAACAAATTCCTCTTAATGAAATGCCCAATGGTGTACTGAAGAGGGTATTATTTTCTATTTTTTAGAACTCTGAGGCAATGCTATAACACTTCCCCCCCCCTTGGAGATCAAGAGGAAAAGTTAAAAATCTTCCACCAGTTGAGGAAAGAGATGTTAGTTAACTGTCATTGCATTCAAAGAAAACTTAGTACTACGAAGTACCGTAATATAATTTTAATTTTTTTAAGTCAAACAACAAAAATCAGCATTATATATGCAATTTTTCGCAGGACTAGTTTCGATGATTTTACTGAACCTTCATTCTCAGCTGCCAAAGAGTAAATGAACGAAATAAGATAAGAATGGACAGGTTCGATAAAACCATCAAAACTAGTCCTGTGAAAAATTGCAAATATATTGTGGATTTTTGTTGTTTGACTTCTAAGTTAGTATTTTTGCTATTGAGAAAGTGGTTAAAATGAACATAGTTTCTTGTAAGGGAATTTACAAGATTCAGAAATTGCAAAATTAATCAATCTGTAAAAAAACATACAAACAATAAAACTTTTATTGAGCTGATTAAAAAAACAGCCATAATACTGTCATACCTAATAAATCTTCAATAAGCTTCGTAAATGCAATGTTTTAATCCTTTCTCAAACTACAGTTTTGTATATGCAAACTGATTCATTAAAATAAAGTTATAATAACAAATATACCATAGAAAATTTCCTAAATATTCTGATATTTCTATTCAGGAATTCAATTCATCCCTGATATTATTTTCCAAAATTTTGGAAAGTAGACATACGCTATGCCTTATGTTAAATCACAACGAAATGTCCAGTTGGTCTTATTCAATTATAATAAATGCGAGCAACAAAGAGAATTTGCTTAAATATAAATATACACTTGGTTCATCACATTCTGTGCTATAACCAAGAAAAATCTGTAGCTGATAAAGCTACAGAAATAACATTTCTTAATCTCAGCTACAAGAAATACAAATTTTCTCAGACAAAGTAATATACATTTTAATCTATACAGTAGAGTTCTGGCCAAACAAAGTGAATATTACATACAGTACTTATAATTATTATTTATGCGTAGGTCTTTTATGTTCTGTTCAGAGATTTGAATGTTCTTTTTCTGTAATTTTTGCTGTTTTCACATTGTGCTATTAATTATTGGAACGGCATAACAAATTTCAAGATATGTTGTAATACTTTGCAACGCTATTTGCTTCTTTCGAGGATATGAAGAAAGTCGGGTAGCGGCTGGTTGTTGACTGACATTCCTTTCTATTGTTGTGAAACATTAGGAGACTTTTCTGAAGTTTTGTGCCTGCATCTTATTGCAAACTAAACTCACGCCATTTCATTGCGAGTATCATTCCTCATTTCACATCCAGGCGTATAAGTGTTACATATTTTGGGGAACTTTTGATATTCTGTGATGTGGAAATGTCATTCGAAAAGAAAAGAAAATATACTAAAATGACCATACAGGAAATGAAACTAGATACGTTAAAGAGACTGGAGAAAGGGGAAAGTATAAACAAAATTACCATGAATTTAGGTCTTGGATGGACTACTTTGATAGGGTGGAAAAAGAGAATCTTGGTGTGTGAAAAGAGCATATACGGATAGTTTAAAGGAAAGAGAAAGTACGAAAGGTGGTGAATACAAAAGAGTGAGTGAGGCGCTTTATTTGTGGTTCAGGCAGCAAAGGGAACTGAGAACACCCATTTTAGAAGAGAAAGCCCACAAATTTTATGATTATAAGGAGAGCCTGGACTTCCTGATGGCTGGTTCGACAGATGGAAAAAGCAGTATGGCATGAGGCAGTTAAACATTTGGAAAAGCTATCTGCTAACTTGGAGGATTTTGCAATATTCAAGGATAATTTCCACAAACTAATTAAAAAGGAGGGTATATCTGAAGGTCAAATTTTATAATTGTGGTGAGACTGGTCTGAATTTTCAAATGCTACCTTCGAAAACGCTGGCATTCAGGGAAGAAAAATTGGTGCCTGGCTACAAAAGAAGCAAGGAGAGAGTCACAATCTTGATATGCAGCAATGCAACAGGCAGCCACAAGCTCAAACTAGTGCTTATAGGCAAATTAAAAAAATCCCCATATGTGTACTAATGGGGCTGAAACCAACTATGATCTTTCTGTTTGGTATCGGAATTAGTCAAATGCTTGGATGAATGGAGCAATAGTTAATGATTGCTTTTATTAGCCAGTTCATTCCATCAATGAGAAAGTTTTTAAAATAAAAAAAAAAATCTACCAAAGAAGGCGATTCTCATTCTAGACAATGCCTTATCCCATCCTGATTCAGAACAGTTATGAGACAAAGAAATAAGAGCCATAGTTCTCCCTCAGTGTGTCAGCCGATGAACCAGTGTGTTTTGGAGGCATTGAATAAAAAATGCATATATAAACTTCTTTCATCTCTTATCCTAGTCAGGGAGGAAAGGGGGTGATCTGATCAAGAAATTGAAGAAAATAGATGTGTTGGATGCTGGACCTTTCAGGAAATGAATTTTATGATAGCAGAGAAGAGCCAGAAAATTGGGAAATAGTCGACTTAATTATTAAGAAAATTCATGGCTGCGAAAAGTTAGTAATGGTGATTTTGAAGAATGGATGGAACGAGATGAAAACTATGAAATTTTAGGACATGCAGAAGTAGTTGCACTGGTGAAAGACAATGTGGATAAAAATGAAGAGATTGAAGACAATGGAAAAGATAAAATTATGACCAAACATGAAGAACTGAAGGCCGCTGAAGGAATGCTCCATTACATGAAGGAACAAGGTGCATCTGGTATGGACATTTTGTTCCTCTATCACCTATACAATGAAGCTGCATGATGACGGAATGAGTGTGAGAGACAATCTACCATTACACGATATTTTTCTACCAAGAACTATTAAATTACTAATTACTTCATTTTTATAAGTTATTTTCACTCGATTATCATAGGGTATTTCTTCTTTTTATGACTCTTATTGTGCTTGAACTCGACATAAAAAATCATCATTAATTTAATTTTATGCCATGCATTTTCTTGTCCAATATGGTGCTACAAATGTTCTAGAGTAATTTACAGTTAAATAGTAAGAGTTCTGAAAAACACACCCCGTATTCCGTAAAGAGGCTATCATATCTAGTGACGTGCAGCTAGGTGGGACATTTCCGAGAAACGAGATTCTAGTAGCATAGGTTTAAACAGGAGGTTTTTGAAAAATGTTCTGTTTAGCCAAGGAAGGTATGTTCCTACTATGAGGAACATTTTGAAACTTTTCCGAAAACGTTTTGTTCGCAGCTGTGTTCTACATAATGATCAACCAATCAGACGAATGTTCTGCTTCTGAAGGATCACAAGTAATTCTCAGTATTGCGATGGCTACAACTGTGAGATTCTGAAATAGAAGCTGATTTAATTGAAGAAATACAGAAAAAAGCTGTATATATATTGCTGTTTTGTTGTAGTATAACTGCACATGAAATTTTCAAAGTAATTGACAATTTTATGTCTGACAATGATATTCCTTGAAATAAGTGCATTGCCATATGCAGACGGAGCTCGAGCTTTAACAGGAAAACATTCCGGAGTGATTTCTCAAATAAAGTCACACCTGAAACTAAATTTTCTCACTGCTCCATACATCGTAAAGCTTTAGTAGCCAAAACAATCCCTGAAAGCCTGAAAACCGTTTTGAATAAAGCTGTAAAAATTATTTATTGTATTAAAAGCCAAGCTTTAAATTCAAGAATATTTATGTTTTTATGCCAAGAGATTGGTAGTGAACATGAAACGCTTTTGTTATATTCCGAGGTAATGTGATTATCCAGAAACAAAGTTTTAAATTGTCTTCGATCAGAAATTCAAATTTTCATTTGTGATTCAGTGTTTGAATTGCAAAATTGTTTATATAGTGAATTATGGTTGGTGCATTTAGCATATTTAGCTGACATTTTTGGAAAGTTAAATGAATTAAATTTAGGATTACAAGGACAAAGTGTTGATTTGTTTACTATTAGAGATAAAATAAATGCAATTATAAAAAAACTTGAGCTAATAATGAAAGAATTGGATAATAATATTTTAAGCTTTTTTAGAAAGTTTTCTAACTGAAAATAGTTCAAAAATAAAAGAAAAATTAGCATCCGACATTAAAAATCGTTGTTTTGCACTGATAAATAATTTCAACATGCATTTTCCCAAGGATTATGAAAAAGAAAATTAGATTAGAAATCTATTTTGTTCAAATGTACTTGAAATTTTATCTCATGAAGAAAAGAACAATTGATTAAAATTTTCTGTGATTGAACTCTAACTGAAGATTTAAAAAATAACACATTTGTTAACTTTTGGCTGAACCCAAAAAAAAAAAGTAATTTAAAGGCATATCAAATAAAGCTATTAAATTTTTACTGCCATTTTGGGAAATCTTTTTGTGTGAACAAAAATTTCCTTGCATGTTATATTTGAAAAATAAATACTGAACAAAATTAAAAGTGGATCCTAATTTGCATTTAAAACTAAGTAAAATAAGACAGAGAAAGAAAATAAAAAGAAATTGGTGAAGAAAAAAATTGAAATAAAGAAAAAGAAATTGATGTCTTCTAAACAGACCCAAATTGCACACTAAATTTTAGAATTAAAGTATTATTAAATTAAGAATTAAATTTTAGAATTAAAGTATTAATAAGATAATTAAAGTGGTAACCATTTTTTAATCTAATATTTTTGTGTGTGCATATTTAATAACCTATAGGTTGTGCAAATGGCAAAATATACACTTTTTAATATTTCTATTGAGAAATTGAAAAATAACCATTGTAAAATATAGTGCTGGTACCAACGTTTTTCAATTTTTGTTTAGATGGTACGCGTTGGTCAAAAAGGTTGAGAACCACTGCTCTAGATGATACTTTTTAAAAATAGATTTTTAACTAACGAAAATCAAAACATCTAATGCACTGTCAAAGATATAAGAAGGTATTCACCTACTTTGCTAAGATGAAGCAGTATTCTTGATTATGTACATTTGATTATGAACTGGCCAGTTTGACTTCTTTAAAAAAAAATCAGGTGTGCACTTCTGCTCCATAATATACTGCAAATGCAAATATTAGGCTTATACTGCAAATGAATGTTCTGCATCGCACCGCCCTTTTCTTAAATTGTTGGTGGACTTTTGGATAACACTATGCATATATGAATGCTTACATATACATGAATTTCTTCGAATGAAGCCATAGGAAGTCAGTTTATAAACTAAAATACAAAACACCTATGCTAACAATAATTGCTAGCAAAATGAACTGTGCTTTTCCACAGATATGACATCTTTTGTTTGAAATCATAGGACATATTCATTTCAGTGACACTCCAGATGCCCTCTGTTCATTTCTTGGTGGGTTTGAAGAGAGGAACTTGTTTCACCCTTTGGTGGGGTGAAACAAGTTCCTCTTTAGAAAATATCCAGCAGTGTTCTTCTGAAGGTAAAATTGTTTTTTATTCTTTACAACACTGGAGGGGGGCTACAGTTTGTATTATACTGTGATGGAAAAGATGGCTTGCTTAATAGAATATTTTCATTAGAAATTAAATTCATTGTTAGATTTATGAACAAATGGTGCCGAGTTTATCTCATGGGTTTCACATATATTAATATTTTATAATTAATTTTTAATTGATATTTTCAGTTTGTACTGTAATTACAGTTTCCTTTTATATTATGCCTATTCATAATTTTATATTAGTAATAGTTGTATCACTTATTTTTATTTTTTAGGTAATTTATGATTTTTCATTCATATGTTTTTCTGGAAGGAGTAACAGTTAAGTTCTGCCCGTTTCTATTTTTACAGGAACAATAACAGTTACTGTTTTGCCATGGATCAACACAGAACATCTTACTTCTAGTGATGTGCCATCACTCACTGAGGAAGTGAGATCTCTTATGACGTCCTGCTTCAAGAAATTCATAGAAGGTACTGCTAATGAAAAATGCAGTAACTCTGCAACAATTAAGGAATAGAATCAATTGCATTGTGGAATTTGTAAATAGATGTATTTCTTCTCACAACTTTCTTATGCATTTGTGTTGATAAAAATATTTTTCTTTTATTATTACTTTTTTGTTTGAAGTTTCGGGTATTGCCAAACCAAAGACATATTTTTGTTGAGTAATTTTTATTAATTTATTAAATTTAAAATGTAATAATTCCAACTAGATTGTTTTAATTTATAACAAGAAGATTTTGAAGATATAAATCTTTGTAACTTTACTAATTTGTAGTATTTTACAGATACTGTAAAAGGTTAAAGAGACATGATATATTTTCTCATGTTTTTTACTGGTTAATGTTAGTCTTCACTGTGAAAGATTGAGTTCCCCCCCTTCTCCTAATATAAATATTGTTGGATTTTGGTGAGATATATGTGTATCCAATCCTACTTGCAGTTGTAGGAAGAGTATTCCATAATGTCATGATTAGTCTATAAATAAATTTTTTGTGTCCAAAGTTTTAAATGCTTAAAAGCAATTAAATTTCATATGGGAATAAAATTTGAAAATCCTTTTTTAGAGGGCAAAAAATTTTATTTTTTTTTTATTTAACAATTCCAATATAATGATATTCTGTATGTTGAAATCCCATTTTTAATTAATATTTTCACCAAACTTTTGTATAAAAGTTTTAAAATAATGTATGTGTAATGTTTTGACAATATTGCCTTTGTAAGGACAGGCAGATGTGTAAATATGATTTTTTTAATCAGCTAAAATATTTGGCTACCATATCTGTTTTTTAGGGATGTTTCATGTTGGATTTGGTTTTTACTATTTCCACATTTGTATTCTCTTTTATGTGCCAATCATAATTTAAAAGATAATCATTAATGTATATAAGATAACTGATTTTTTTTAAATAGAGTTTATATGAAAATTTTAATTTTGAACTGCTTTAGTTATTAAAACTGGAAGCATTCAAAATTGAAATATAGTTAACTTTAAATGAGTATAAATTAGTCATTTTCTATAAAACAAACAGAAATTTTATTTAAATATATGTATTTTTAAATTCCATTTCTTGTTCTTTATAGTTCTCTTATAATCAGGCATGAAAGTGCAAGTTGGCAAAAAAAAGCTGAACAACACGCAGACACAAAAGCTAAATGCGCACGCGCGACCTCAAAAAAACACATTTTAATAAAATATCAACCTTTTACTATAAAAAGTATTAAACATATACATATAGTTAAACTAAAATAATACTTGTACTTACTATTTTGCTATTAATTTTATCTTCCACTTGTAAAAAAAAACAAAAAAAAAAAAAAAACAGTAAATCACCAAGAGATTGTAATGAATTAACCTTCTTTAAGATGCTCTTTATGTAACTTAATTTAACAGTTGATACATGAATACTGTACACAACATTACAACACACTAATATACATATTTATGTTATGTTTACTGCCTATTTTCAGGCAATGACAAGTTTTAGAGATAATATATATATAACTGTTACTATAGCTTTCAATTATCTTCACTTTTAGTTCAATAAACAGTACTTTATGTAACACTAGAAAAAGTAGTCATGTGAGATAATATAGTTACAAAATAACATATAGTTAAAGGAGAAATATAAAAAATAACTATTTTGTCTCAGTCTCACTTGATCCTGATTAAAAATTTTTAGGGAAAAAGCTTTGTCATTTTTGCTACTTTTGCAGCCAACTTTTCTAATTTCCATTTGTGAGCTAGTCTCAATTTCTTTTCAGCAGTTTTTATACAATCCATTGATACTTTTTTATTTTCTGCAATGTTTAATTGCTTTTTTTTTTTTTTTTTTTTTTTTTTAGATTTTTCTCGCTCCTCCTTTTTTATCTCTAGCTCTTCTTTGTACAGTTTATGAGCATTCCTTAAATTTTTACATAGAGTTTTGTACTGGAGAATGCAAGTGGTCATCCCTTTTAAAAAATTTCAAAGCTGACTTATTGCAACTCAAAAATTTGTATTTTACTGTTTGTATAGCAGACAATGTGTCTATACTCATGCAGCCACACTCTGTCTAACACACTGCTCATAGAACTAAAAGCACTCTCAACTTGTGGCCCATGGAAACAACTGAAAATAGCTTCTACCATTTTGGATAAAGCTGGATAACTGCCATCTGCAAATACTTTGGCCCACCACTCATCAAGTCTTATTATTTTTCCATCTATATCTAATGGTGAAGCTAATTTTTTATCAATTTGGTATTTATACATTTATAAATAATATGAAATTTTGTCTTCTTGTGTCAAAACATTCTGGATTAATTCTTTTTAACTTAAGCAAGATACTATGGTGACCTCTGGCTGTAGGATCAATTCCTTATAAGCTTTTTAATAATGGATTGTTCAATGGCAAAGTCTTCTGCAGATATTTTGCATTGTTGATGAAAGCTTCAGTGGAAATTTTAAAAAATTCTTTAACATATGTTTCATCTTTTTGACATATGTAAATCTTTTTGAAATAAGTGCAATTGTAGCTGCTCCTAAATACATATTCTCTGGGGATAAAAGATGAGATTCATCTCCAGTATCTGAGATAGAAGTCAAAATTTCTGAGATAGATTTCTTTTGGAGAAATTCTGACTTAATAAACTTTGCTAAAAAATCAATAAATAGCTGCTTCTGCTCATCATGCAATTTATGTATTAAGGCTCTTTCATTTGAAATAGACAGACATACTTTTTTAATAATGGCAATACAGACACATAAAAATGCATAATTAATTGGAATTTTTTCCTGTCATAAAATAATTTTGAAATTATTCTTTCTTTTCGTTTCCTCCCATCACTTGTCAAATGCTTTTGCAGTAAGTTCATTGCTCAGATTTCTTTGTTTATAGATACTGCAACATATATTAAAACATAATAATCTGTAATGCTGATTTAAAAATCCATAATAAAAAATGGTTAAACAATCAAACATGAGTAAATTACTCAACGTAACATCATATATGGACAGCCAGCTTAATAAAATGTTCAATAGCCAGTATATTTGACATTTGAAATCACACATATTTCCTCTAATTTTTCTTTTAAATCAACAAACCAGTTAAAGTCATTATATATATCTTGCAGGTAATCTTCTACCCACCCACCAAATGGTTTAGAAAATACCTTGGATGCATCATGTATATGATGGCAAGAATCTCCATCAATATCTAACAAATGAGGAGCCTTCTCATTACAAAGTCTCACCTCTAATCCAGACTTTGATCCTCTCATTATATTGCAAGAATCGATCAAAACAGACGTGGGATTCTCAAATGGCAGCTGATTTTTTTTCAAAAAGAGACACAATTTTTTGAAATAGTTGTTCGGCAGGCATATTAAAAACATTAACAGATATTAAATGCTTGACCACTACTTTATTGTGTTCTGTAAAAAAGTAGTTGGCTAATATGCACAAAACTCTCATTCGATTACTACTTGTAGTTTAATTAATATTTAATAAAAATTTAAACTTTTTAAAATTCTTCACAGTTTCATTAAAAAATGTTTTTGAGAGGCCTAATCTCATTTTATATGAAGCAGTAGTGCGAGCCATTGAGAGCTGTGATAGTGCCTTCTTATCAGATGCCATTGCTTTGGCCAAATCAATTATCACAGGTGCTACAGTATAAGGCAAATTATTTTCAGCCATAGCTCCAAGCAGTTGACCCTCTAAGCTGGAAACTCGATCACAAATTGGAATACTTGGAGCTTCTAATTTTTCTCTCCTGCATGCTTACGTTTGTGTCTGTCAAAGATGAATATGATGATGGCATCCTGTAATTATCTCTTTTCACTACTTCCCTCCATAATGTTTTTTGCTTTTGATATGGCTGCTAATAGCAACATATCCCCTTTTTCCATAATATATTAGATCAGAACACAATGCACACTTCACTTTTCCACTGATATCCACTTTCTGAATGCAACTGCCAACGACCATTTCCATTTCTTGTCCATTCGCATGAACTTGTACGATGTTTTTCAGCCATGCAAATCTGAACGTATTTTTTCTTTACTATTTACATGCCGAGCTTTGTGCTCATGATTCGGATTTAAGATATTCATAACAAAAAACTTACAGCAACAAACAAAAAAGAAATAACATAGCGATCTACGCTCCAAATTACAGTATGCCACTTTACACACACTAAAACTCGCACATGCTCTGGATAACATCAGTAGGGTATCTGTATGTCTGTCAGATAGCGCCAGCCCCGATCGCTGAAATTATTGAAGTCAGCTCTCGTTTGATGGTTGCTTGATCTTCTTTGATTCGATGTTCATACACATCTAGTTCTGCCTTTCCACATAAGCCCCACCTACTTCACCTTGATGTGAAACAACGCATTTCGCGATCTCTGGCATGATGTAAAGTTTTTTTTTTTTTTACAAAGAAAAGAAAAAGAGAGTATGTCCTTTGTTTACCCACCACCACCACCACACACACACACACATTTGCCAGTCGCGATTTCTCAACGGTCTGCATTGATCTCAGAAACAGCCCGGGTGACGTTCAAAAAAGCGGAATTCCGCGAAAATGCAGAAAACCTTCATGCCTGTATAATCTTGCAGTTAAGAAAAAATAAGAAGGTCTGTTACAGTTAATATTGTTAAGCTATTCTCACTCACTCTCTTCTTCTTCTTTTTTAATCTGAACTACTAAAATATGTGTTGAATTTATTTTGTATTATAATTTGATAGAGCTAATTCTTTTCATTGACAGATGATAAAGTACTCATTAAGTAATTGCAGATGTTCTAAATTAAATTTAATTTTAAATATATACTGTGTAAAGTATTTATTTAAATCATGATTTATACAAGATGTTAAATATTAGAGCTTTAACAGGTCAGTATTGTATGGTCAATTAAGTTAAACTAGCTGGTGTAAGAGTTTATTTTATTTATGTATGATTGTATTTACATTATTTATAAATTTTTCTACCCCCTTCGCAATTTTGTATATTTTAAGTGAATTATCTTCCAGAATGCATGCACTAGTCATTTCTCATTAGTGTGATAATATTAGTTCAAAGTATTTTTAATTTCTGTGCTGTGATTTGTTAATACGTAAATATGCTAATGTTTCATAATTTTATTTTTTTTATCACTGCACTTAGTTTTTGGGTGCAATTTTTAATAGTATTTATTTTACTTAAGTTGTGATATTTATACTGTATTTTATTTTAGTCCAATTATTACATCAAACTTTTTCTGTAGTGTTAAATATATGTTATGCATTTAGTCATTAGCATAAGAAGATTGTTAAAATTACAGTGAACCCTTTCATTTTGATGGCTTTTTTGTAAACAAACATCTATGAAAATGACAAATATTTCTGAGAACATAAACACTGGAATGGTGGTTGTAATAATTTTCTATAAAACAACCTCTCTCTAACTCAACCAGATCTGTCAAAAACATTCATTTAGATAGTGGTCTGAAATATAAGTATTGTACAAGAAATCTATCTCAAAAAATAAAAACTTTTACAATACAAACTCCGAAATCCGAATGTCTAATATCTGGAATAATCTAAAATCCGGACCTCAAAGCCACCAGCAATCTCTCTCTCTCTCTCTCTCTCTCTCTCTTTTTTTTTTTTTTGAGGGGGGTATGCTTCACATATGCACATTTGATTCCCCCCCTAAAAATAAAGCATGCGGAGAGTTCTGATTCTTAATTTTGTTTTGGCATTAAATAAAATACCTTCTTGCTGAAGAAACAATCATTTTAGCATAAATTTGTGTGATCCGTAATTTGACTCTGTAGCTGTGTATCTGCTGGCATGCATCTCAGACAAAACATTCTACATAAAAACATTGTTGATTTTAAACCAACTATTATTTTATATACCAACTTGCCTGACACCACAGTATGTAACCTTCTATGTTAACAATACCCTTGGTGATGATTGCAGATTTAAGTTAAATGTGCTAAAAGCTGTTGACGAGAAATTTTAACAAAAATTTCTTTCCCTAAGTTAAAAATAGATTTTGTTAATGAGACTCATAGGATAAAAGATTACAGTTAGTGTTATTTGAATTAAGAATAATTGATTGTTATTTACAAAAACTCAGAACTGGCGCCAGAGCTTGTATAGCCACATCGAATGGCAGAATTTAGACAACAAAATTTTTAGAGCAACCCCAAGCAGAAGACAAAATTTTTGGAATTTAGAGAAGCACCAAGCAGTAAAATTGTGGGTTGACAAAATTTTTAGAATTTAAGGAAAGCATTGAGACCCAGAAATTAGATGCGGCAAAATTTTAGAACTTAGGGAGGCACTTGGTAGCGGAATTTAGGACCTCTAGAGACTGCATTGGGATATCTAGCTCCAGCCCTCAATAAGCCTTAGGTTTATGTGGGAATTTATTTATTCAGGACTTGGGTAAGCCTTGAGCACATACAAAAAATAGACATAAGTATAGAAAATAACTAAAATAATACAATTCAGTCTTAATTGTCTCAGTACGTGATAGAAGAAAGACAAAATTTAGTGGAATAAAGTGTCTTTCTTTGCCAATCTCATGATAGCTGATACTGAAACTGCTGAACTATTTGCAGATGAATTTATTGAACTCGCTAATTGTGGAAAGTTTTCTCCAGAGCAAATTTACAGCACTGATGAAACTGGTCTTTTCTGGCAATATGTGCAGAGAAATACCTTGGCAACCTCTACAAAAAAGTCTCCAACTGGTGTCAAAGATTCCAAAGCAAGAATAACAATTTTGGCATTCACAAATGTTGCAGGAACACATAAGTGTAAACCTTTCGTAATCATAAATAATACACAACTTCAATCATTTAAAATAGTAAAGATTTTCCCGTTATATATCATGCAAGTAAAACAGCATGGATGACTCAATCATTAATGAACGATTGGATTGAAAAACATTTCATACCCGAAGCCCGGCGACATTTGAATGCAGTTGGTTTACCTGATGATGCAAAAATTGACCTGATTGTAGTCAACTGTACTCCTACCTCACTTAAAGTTTTAGTAAAAGATAATGTATGTGTACTATTTTTTCCTCCAAACCGTACGTCCATCATTCAGCCTATAGATATCGGAATAGTGTGCAGACTAAAATGCAAAGTTTATGTTAAATAGCCTATAGATATCGGAATAGTGTGCAGACTAAAATGCAAATGTAAAGTGTATGTTAAATTTCTTGAATAATGGAAAGACTCTTCAAGAATTTTTGAAATATTTTAGCATAATATCTATGTGGAGCATCAAAAAACGATGTGTTTTGAGATACTTTAAAAAAAAATGCTTTACATAATTTATGGCCAGCTAACTAATAATTTAAGTCATCATATGGTGAGGATGATGAAAGTGATTTAAGTTGATGAAAGTTTGAAGGTTATGGGATATCGCAAACCAAAGGTGAAATTTTCCCATTAATGGATTTTGTAAAGAAAAGTAGCAAAGTGGTAATAAATGAAGATGATATAATAGAAGTTTTTCATTGTGATGACAATGCCCCGGCCATCAAATGGCACAATCTGTAGCATGGTTCAAGATCCCAAAAATACCGTTACCAATAGTGAAGAAAGTCACAGAGAGGTTATTGAGAACGAAAATATTTCAATTCGCAAGTTAAGTCGGTATTCTCGACTCAGCAATTATAGGACTTAAACAATGGAACTTTGTAACTGAACAAGAAATTATATCTGTCTATAGAATTAAAGAGAGATAGTATTAGCAAAAAAAAAAAAAAAAAAAAAAACTTACATTAAAGAAAAGTTTAATAAAATAGGCAAATAAATAGTAAAATTTGATATTTACGTAATTAAACAAATGATTTAATTTTGTAAATATCAAAATTTATGAAATAAATTAAGATTTTTTTGTAAATTTTAATACCCTTTAGATCATAAATGCTTCATTATTTCATAAATCATGATTTCTTATAATTTCTACATGCCATCTTACTAGATTTAAACTGATGATCTAATATCTTGAAAAATCTCAAATCAGGGATCACCGAAGTCTCTACGAGTCTGGATCCGGGACTTTATACCGTATTATTATCTAAAGCAGTTTCTATATATTTATGAGACATTAAACTTATTCTTATTTCATTCTGATATAATTTATCATATGGTGTCAGTTTTAATACCATGCTGCTTTATGAATAGTATATTATATTTCTAATTCGTTTTTACTAATTTTGTCAATTCTTATCTGTGCATTTGGTGAAATATAGCTAAGCATATGAAGGCAGTTCATTTCTGCTATTGAGATTACTGAAGTTGGTTGTGTGACAACTCCATGCATGCATGTATAGAAATCATAAATCTTAAATAATTAAACTTAAATATTAACTTAATTTTAAGTTATTAATTACTCTTAATTAATAAGGTTGCATGCAAAACTAAAAGCATTAAATTTAGAAACACAATTTAAAGTTACTGAAAATGGGACTGTCCTCTATCATGAAGGAATTTTAAAGTAGGCAGAAAAATGTAAAACTGGTTGATAGTAATAAGATGATTGATTATTTATTTTCAAATGCTTTCAGTAAAGAAAGTGATTGATCAGAAAAGAAAATCAGATAGTCAAATTTCATTGGTATTTTTATAATCCCATTAAATTAAGTACTAAAGTTTTAATAGTTTCTCTCTTCTGTTATCACTACATGTAAGAAATGTTTTCGATATTTTAAAATATTCATTTGCAGTAATGAAGAAAATTGAATAGAAAATACTTTTTTTATGTGATTTCTTGTCCCTTTGCATTATTTATTATTTACTATTAATCTTTTGTGATTTATTAATATAATGCTATTAAACCAATGTATCATATTTCCACATCAATGTTTTTCTTGAACAGATTTCTAAATCCATTATGTGTATTGGTAATCACTATCATCAGTAATCATCTTACTAAGACATCCCACCTCAGAAGATTAAAGCCATCTGGATATGTCTGTAATTAATTATCTTAGAGAGAGTTTACTACATTTTAGCAGAAAATTTAGTCGATTATTGTTGAAAGGGCACATGTCCACTTTTGCAACTTTTACACCAAGCAGTAAAAACCTTATAACATTTTCCAAAATAAAGTTACATATTTCGATCCCCAAGTAACAAGAAATAGTCAAAACAACATTATAGGCAATTTTTCACATTGTTAACTCTTATTTTAAAATTTCTAAGGAATTTTTAATCTTGTGGACCTGTAACCATTCGACAATAAAGAGGGAAAAAGGGATAATATATATGAATTTATATTATCCCTTTTCCCTCTTTATTTCCCTCTTTATTGTTATATATATATTTTCTTTGAATAACTTACTTTATTTCAACAAAAATGGCATTTTGAAGCAATCGAAATCTGAAACTTGTCACAAAATAAAACAGCTTATACATTTTTCATCTCATTAAAAATGACATTCATTCACCCAGAAATGTATTATTTTTGTCGAAAATCTTTAATACTGAACATAACATTGAAACAATATTTAAAATCCTAATATAGTCAACCACATTAAACTTAAGAGTTGTCTTTGCTCTCAAAAGGTGCAGTTTTAGAGTGGCCATATGGTGGTGTAAAATCCTTATATGCTTCTGGCATATACTGAATAACTTTCTTGATATTGTCTGTTTTCTTTACGTTAATGACATTCATCCCAGAATTGGTTAGTGCAGAGGGATAAACTATTTCTACCTCCGGTATCTTCAGGTTTTTTTTTTTTAATCAATCCATTTAACGAGTTATAGACAAATAAAAAAACCCTCCTTCATTTTGAAATAGTAATAATCGGATAACACCGAAAGTTCTATCAGAGGGCAGGAAGCTATGTCCCATTACAGGAAAATATTGCTTGACAGTCAAATTTTTTCTGGTCACAGAAAAAGCTAAGAGGAACCTTAAAATGGTATGATTTCAGTTTTGACCTGTGCAACCATCTGAAAATATGTTAATTTCTTTTGCTGATGCCGGAATATGTTGTCTTATATAAACATATAAAAATGAAGGAACCTAAGCAAATAATTTCTTTTGCTGATGCCGGAATATGTTGTCTTATATAAACATATAAAAATGAAGAAACCTAAGCAAAAGTATGATGCAATGTTTACAAAGACTGCCCGGTAAGAGAGAACGATAGGTTTCAACAACAATGAGAGATTTCATGTGCGACACTCGCACTACGCCCCGCACTGTGTTAAGCGGAGAAAAAGCTCACAGGCTGGACATAGTCCCTTTCAACAATAAATAATCATCTTCGGACTGCTTGCCAGTACACACAGAGTTGAATTAGAGATGTGCCACTTCAACTGTAAGTGTGTATATTTGTAGAATGAAAAAACTTTAAAACCTCAAAATCGACCAAATATGGACATGTGCGCTTTCTACAATATTCAGTTCAATTGTTGTTAAAGAACTCGAGAGCTCCATACAAGAAAGGCAGTTTTAAATGTTTAATTAACAGTATTACAACTGTGTTATTTGATGTGGTATTAAAATACACGAATGGCAAATTGGATGCATTTTTTTCATGCATACACATATATATATCATGAGAAATATATGTATTTGATCTGTAAGCTGCATCAGTATGTGCTGTAACTGTTATTCGTATGCATTGTATATTTAATGCTTTTATAATAATAAAAGATGTGATCTAGGTCTAAATAATATATCATATTTAAGTATTTCACATATCTTAAAAGGTTCTAATTTTTTGCCAAGTGAGTTCACTGTCTGCGTTTGCTGCATTAGAGATTAGCTTTTTTTAAGCAATTTTATTTAAAGTTGTGTACCATTTTTGATATTGTGCTAGTTTATAAAAAGAGCTTGACTACAAGGTGCATATTTATATTAATTTTTCTTCAAGTTAAAATTTAGTTATTTACTTTTTCAATAAATAAATTCATAATGTGTTTTGTAGAGCATTTATCTTGAAGATTTATTATACACTTGTAATCTAAAAAATTATTAAAAACATGCAGATCAGAATTTGTATTAAGATTTTTATTTACTTAGACTCTTAAATATGAAACTAAGCTATGAAAGATAGTTTTGAGGTAATCATATTCTGATAATTTTTTTAAAATTTTTTCCTTATTAATAGATTTAAACAAGCCACTTTGAAAGTTACATATCAAAATACAGTAAATATGTAATACAGTTGACCCTTGTTTTATGACAGTTTATGCTGATTTAGGCATACAGTTGTTTAGTAATTAAGCTAAAATAAGGGAAAATATATTAAAACTACTTGTAAAAAACTGTAGACATAAACTGGAACCATTTTAAGAGGTACACTAAGATTTGTGTTATTAAAATAACTGGTGAGGCTGCAGACTGATGCAGATGTGAAATATAATTGGATTCATACTTATTTTAATTTGACATTTGTATTGTTCTTGTTTGCGAAAAACATTTCAAATATGAGCAGGTTGTAATAAGAAAAGAAATTTTGATGGAAGAATGTTAAATTAATCAACATGTAAATTATTCGCATTTTATTTTCTAAAATTCAGATTGGATTGTTTCTATGCTGTCATAGAAATGGAGGGAAAAAAATGTTTACATATAATGTGTAGTTTCACTTGATATCTTGTAAAAAAATAGGTCTTTTTATTTCCATATCCTTTTATTTCATTTCAAATGTGATTCAGTGAATTGTAAATATTTTATAAAAATCTTTGTTTTTTAGTAAAATCACACAAATATTTTCTATAAACCTAGTATATCGAAATAGAGATGTATTCGTTTTTTGAAATGTTTCTTGGTTTGATCTTCTAATTGAAATTATGTGGAGGGACCACAAGACTGTGTTAGCAACTCCACTAGTGATTAATACAAAGTATAATGAAAAATATCGTAGATATTTTTCTTTAGAAATAAGATTTAATGGATGTATTTATCTACAGAAATGATAATGAATGTGAATGGATTTTTTTCACCAGTACTAGTCTGGAAGGTTTTTCTGTTTCTGTTATATACATGTTTCATAAAAACTTACCCCAGAACCATATGTAGAAATGCCATAGTATATTATAGTGCTATGTGTGACTTTGTTTTAATAATTGTACATTTGTATATGTATGAATATGTGACTTCATTATTTTTTGATGAATAAAAAGCTTTTGGAGCAAGTTTTGATTTTTATTCATGATTATTTACCCAGAGGAATTCCATATTTCTGTCATATTTCAATCAAATATTTTCATATGAGTATGAGAATTTCGATGCTAGATTATGAATGAATAGTATTGACACCCATGATATGCAAGTATTGAAGCTATGGAAGAGATTTATTAGAAGGAAAAAAACATGCCGTTTCCCAGATGGCTAAAATTATTCAACACTGGTATTGAATTTAAATCTCAACAAATAGGCTGGTTGCACAGCACATTCATGGTTCCTTCACCCATTTTATTATGTATATGAGCCAGTTTCTTTTTAAAAAAGTCTTTCATGAAGGCATCTCTTCTGCTAAGCACTCCAACAGGCCATAGTGTTAAAGCAGTACTACTATCCGCAGGAAGATATCTTAGTTAAATTGGATTTCAAATGATAATGCTGGTGATGGCTATGAACAATAATATGAATTTCAGTTTCCATTTTTGAGTTAGGAATTTGTGTTTAACTAAATAATATTTAGTCATTTAAAAAAAAGTCCCCTCCCATACGCGTGTGTATCAGTAAA